TTGCTATACCAGCTAAATATTTATTAACAAAGCATAAGTGGTTATTGTAAAAAAAAAAAAAAAAAAACTAAAATGTTCAAATTCGCTTCGGATTAATATAGTTTGAGAAAGTACGTCGACTTCATTATATGTCAATTATACTTAAAAAACATAATTGCTAATTTTTTTGTGAAAGTATTTCAGATTTTAATGAAGAATAAAACGGGATAATGAACTAATATAATAAAAGTAATATTTTTTGGCATGGATATATCTAAGTAAATCGACCAATAGAAATGATTTGGATTAATCCCGTTTGCATTGTTTAGCAAAAATTTAACCAATTAATAAAATAATCGTTCAATTAAGTAGCATTCAGCATCAAATTTATTATTTGCTGTTATTTGTATTATTTTTATTTATATAAAACGAAATGATATTTATATATTTTTTAAAAATTTTAAAGTTTTTATCCTCAAAGTTACAAAGTATGAGGTCCATGGCCTTCCCAAATCTGCGTAACCCTACTTTAAACAATGGAAAAATAAATTCAAAATTTCAAGATTCTAATAGCAAAGATAACATGTTCAAAGATAACATTAGTTCTTTTTTTTAATTGCTTCCTGAATAAAATGTTTTCTCTTTCATTAATTATTATTCAATTTCAGCCTGAGCAATTTGTGCGTTTGAGTAGAATATTTTAAAGAGTAACATTAATTTGTTGTAGTAACATTATCAATCTATGATTAAAATGCTTAATTTACTAAAGTGCATGTGAGTTATCCTATTGGTACTAAATAAATGTTGACTTCGGTAACAATTATAGAAAGGCTCACCATAATCATTCAAATAAGCTTTTTTAAACTCCATATCTAGATAACTTAAACATATATTTTCATGTATCCAATTTCGCTTGAAGCATGTAATAAATAGAGCAAATAAGGGAATTGAATATATTTCCGGTATTCAAATAAGGGATATTTAGAACCAATATATATTATTGCATCCGCCTTCAACATCAACATACAATAATTTGATCCCTATCTCTTTAGAACTTATATTAGTAATTAGTTGAATGTATCCATATTAAAATAGCGCTTGTATCGAAATATTGTAAATTCAAAGTTTTCAACTATATGTATAAATTTCATGAAATTTTAAAATTAATTCATAATTGAAAAATATATATTATTTCACGTTCAGTTTATAATGAAATACGTTTAATAAACTTAAATAACTGATAATCCTTTAATTGTAACTGAACTTATTGTCAAGTTATTCATGTATTATTAATTTTAATGTAATTGTTAATTCAAATAAATAAACATAGTTAATTTTAAATTTCTTTTTAACGTTAACCATATATTAAATATTATGCCATTACCGTAATTTTCTAAAAATAAAATATATAAATAAATTTTTAATTACATATAGTATCATTTTTATTACAAAAAATATAAAATTCATAAACTACAAAAAAAAAAATTTTCTTAATCAGATAGCCAGCTAATCTGATAACTAAAAATTAATTTCAAAACAGATGTGAAACAAATTTAGTCATATTTTTATGCATACAATGTATTTTTGTCGTAGTATATTTTCATTTCAAATTATAAATTGGTTTTGATAAAATGAATGCATAACTTATAATGTTAAATTTAAAATTCATGCAACGATAGGAAGATCTGACTTTATATTATAAAATACAACTTACATCTACTTATTGAAATGCGAAAGAAAATATTGAAAAACATTTATAAAGTTGATGCATGATCTACACATAATTCAACTAATAATTTTTCAAAGATTAAAATGGATATACTTAGAAGATAACAAATAAGTTTAATTTAACTGATTCACATTTTCATTTCCACATCCACGTAAAGATAAAACTAATCTCATGTTTCGAAGGTAGTATCTCACATTGAAAAATGTTCAGAATGTTAACAGCATAACACAGCGTTTTATTATTGAAATGTTCAACAGTGATTTCAAAGTTAAGTTAGCTTTCAAGAAGAGAGTTAGAATTCGATACTTCTCATGGTTAATGCTGTTGAAAATGCTCTTGAAAATTGAATAGATCTAATAATTGATAGATCTGGGTATTCTTACATCAATAGTCGTATTTTCTCGAGAGTTCCGGATTTTTCTTCAGTATTACAAAAATTGAAAGTAGTTGTTCCTATAAGTTTTCTCCGGAAATAAAATTCAACTCTATTTTATTTGGTGTGGTGTAGCAGTATAATACAAGACTGACTTGACGAAAAGAAAATATTTTATGCAGAAGAAAACAGGGAATGTTCTAAATAATCAAATGCAAAAATTCTGGAACTATATGAGCAAGCTCAAGTCTAATATTCCACTCTCCGATATGAAACAGCAATACCCATAATTGTGATGCTTTCAATTTTAATTGCTTCTTTAGCCAAAATATCGGCTTTCATTATCCCACCAGAAAAGAAATGTTAAATTTAAAAGATACTTTTTGTGTCAAATTGAAACTAAGTTGACGATTTAAACATAAATGTTTAAACCATACTCATTAGGTTAATTGAATGATTCGTAGCCCACTGGTATCGTGCATAATTAGGAAGCAGGAGAGCTCAGATTCGAATATGCCGCCAACTTTGGTTACAGTTACTGTTTCCAGAAACAAGGTTTGGTTCGTAGCTGTACGGTCATTTTGTGCACATGAGAGCTGAACAGACCGGGACCTATAGTTTTATAGTGGATTCCGAACGCCTAACAAACATCCACGCTTGAGATACCAAATGCCAGAGCCGCTTCACAAAACAAGAAGATTCGATAGTGATTGCGAAGATGTGTGCAAAACGTCTCGCATAAATAATCAAGCAACCTGGTGGAAGGTAACTGTGTTTTCCACCATTGCGACACGAAGATTCAGTGCAATTACCTATTAAAAGTACACTGAAAGTCGATTTTCTCCCCACTTCGCCCGTCGGAAAGCTGTTTGTGGTATATCTAAGTGATACCAGAGCCTCATCCATGTTCAACAGCAAAAGTATAAATTGATGAATGGTTACAGTTTTCCAATTACCTTAAATCAAATAGGTACTCTTTTCAAAGAAATTTTTTTTTTTCTGTAAAAGGTCTTCTCACATATATCTGACATGCAAGTACTATATAAGGATTTTCTTGGCCTTGTTACTTTGCCTCGAATAGTTCATTTTTCTATATATTGCTTATCACTTTATGTTGCAAAATTGAGGAATGTGCAAAAATGAGGAATTTTATGTAGCTGATATCCAATAGTTGTTGATTCTTTGAGTAATAAAAACTTGGGAATTTTATGTATAATAATAAAAAAAAAATTCCCAATTAAATTCTAAAAACATAGAAAGACGTTTTTAACATTCAATGGAAGATAATTCCGATTTACTCAAACAACACTTGAATTATGTGAATCATAATCTTACCTACAATACGATTTACCATTATACATTATAATTGAGAAAAAAAAAAACCACACCACCACAATTATAGAAAAAACGGTGAGAACTAGAATTTTGACGACTGAGTAGATATGAAACAGATAATTTTGTTCTTCTTTCCAGTGGAAAGGCGCGTTGAACAGTAATGATATTATCAATAAGTAAAAGCAAAGTTAGTTCAAACTGGCAAAACGAGAAGAAAGGAAATAAAGAGGAAATTTACAAGCACAAAAACTTTTCCTAAGGCTCCAAATATTAAATTGAAACTAGTTAGCACGACAGTTTAGTTCTAATATTTCTAGAATATTATACTTTGAAGTTTATAATTTATTAAGAGTAAATTCACTGTGTGAAAAAAACCAATTTCGTATTTATTGCACAAGCCATTTATCAGAAAACTAGAATATTCTCCCAACTTAATAGAGAATGGGAAACACGATTCCAGTTTTAATGGAAAACTAAAGTGAAATCACAACACATCGACAAAAGAAATGGAAGGAAACAAAGAGAAAATTACACTAGTACTAAACATAGTACAGTTTTCTGGAAATGTGAAAAGGTAATCGATTACCGCGATAGATATTCGATTGTTTTTCTCCTTCAATCTCACTTCCAATCTCAATCTTGTTTAGTTTCACTTTATCAAGATCTTACAGATTGCGAAAAAAAAGAGCGCCAAGCTTAACTTCAGTGACTCCGGAGACTGGGCGAGATAGAACATAGATTAAACAATAAATCTTTCTTACTTCAGCAGTGACGTATACGGTAAAAGATAATAAACACTATTGAGATAGCAAAAGGGATAGAATTCAATTGACTGACACATGTTTTTTAGCACTTCACCCCATGTTATTGAAATGAATATATAGTATTTACGTGTGCTGGCTTTCTACAGTCTCACATAATTGCTTGGTCCATCGTTAGATCTATTTATTCCTAAACAGTAATCTCACAAATGCATTAAAATAAATCAATATATGATCTTACATTGAACAAGTAATATAAAAAAAAATATTTTAAAATCAATTCCTACTTTTTTTCGCTATATTGCAGAAAAGTCCTTTACAAATAAAGTTGAAATTTTCCTTTTTACATCTGGCGCCATCTATTATTAGATACTTGCAACTTAAATCTAAAAAAAACCTAAAATTAATTAATTAAATTTAGTTAATGAATTAATATTTGAAAAAACTGTATTAACATCAAGTGCCATCCACTTCAAGTTAAAAAATGTATTTGAAGTTGAATGGATGAATAAAATGTATTTTATTAACGATTGAATATTTGTTGTTGTTTGTTTGTTGCTGTTTCTTATCCCACTTGGCTGGCCAAGCCCACGAGCCCCATACGTACCCATGATTGAAGGGGAAAGAAGCACCCGTAGGTAGAAGTCTGACTTTGGCTCCGTGACACTCTTACAGTCATAGGAGACCGGGACCTACGGTTTAAGTGGATTCCGAACCACTACAAACATCCATGGCACCGCCGGGATTTCGAACCCGAAACCTGTGGCACCGAGTGCCAGAGCGCTAGACACTCGGCCATTCAGGTCCCAAATTTGTGAATGCCAACGGCACGCTGTGTTCCCAGGTGGTCACCCACCCAAGTACTGACCGCGCCCGATGATGCTTGACTTCGGTGAAAATTTGTACAAGATATATATAGGAGAGCGTGAACTAATAGGAATTTAAAAAAATGTTTAAAGTTAGCATACGCAACATTTAATTTTCATATCTCACAATATTAACAGAATCTAAGACGTTTTTGCATGTGTGAAAGTATCCAAAGTCGACGACTTAGAATAAAAGAAATTAATCCACGTTAATAGTAATTCTTCCACGACGATTTTCCATAGGACAGAATTCGGTAATTTTTTTTTCTAGAAATGCAGTGGTTATTTATATGCCGTTAATGTAATCCAGGTAATCGAAATGTTGTTAAATATTAACTATATCTTGACACGGAGGAAAAAAAACGTGAAACAGTTTACCATTTTACGACAGTTAAATTCTTTGCTTAATTAATAGTGCATTGTTTTGAAAAAAAAAAATAAATCAAAAATTTTTAGTATATTATTTACGTTTTTATTTTCATTGGTTGGAAGAACTTAATATTGAAGTAAAAAACTTACTTTGTATTGTGCAGGTTGTAACAGGGGGTGTTGTTGTATTGAGATACTTGAGGCACTGTTTGGAGAATTCACGGCTTTGTTTACTCAAGTACAAATACCATACACATACAATTAACGACAGGCAATATTTAATACATTTAAAGACATATAAATATAGATTCGTGGAAGGATTTCACTTCTAAGCCGAAAACCCAATATTCAGATACGTGCAAGGAGCGCGAAATATATAGACGAAAACCGATACTCGGCTACTCGCAGGATACAGAAAATATACTTCCACTCCGGATGAGAGTCTACAGGCCAAGAAACAGTAGGTTTGCGTTAAATATATTTCCTCTCGGATGAAAGACTGTAAACTAAATGTTTCTCAATAGAAGCCCATGGTGCCTCTCCGGCGAGAGTCTCGAGACCTACTGACAATTTCTGCTGAACACAGGGACCTTCTATGCTGTTGTCAGTGCGTATTAGGAAGCATGGTTACATTGTTTTATTTATTATAATTATTGTTCGAAGCATTAATTTAAAACTTTTAAGTACTATTTTCATATATTTGGTAAATGAATTTTTAATGTTATTAATTTCATATAGTATAATAGATATATGCATTTGTAACTTTAAATGCAAAATGAATTAACTAGTTATTTCTTCTAATAAAAATGAATTTTATTTCATAAAATTTGAATGAATATTTATTCTATCATTTTCATAATTTATTTATAAGTTAGCGAATTTCATCCCACTAAATAAAGATTAAGTTCATAAAATATGGCTTATTCGTTTTCTCTCTATACACACATTAAGAAGAATAGTTACCATGCTTTAACAAATTGAATCAAATGCTTCAGAAAGAGGAAAGTTTGAAAATTGAGTAGAGATTTATCAGAAAAAAAGACTTGTTGAAAAATGTTCCAACACAAAATTTTCAGTTTAACTAAATGAAATGAAAAAAATCAATACAGATCCAGTTTCATTCAAAATGGTTTTTCTCCACAGCAGAAAATATATCACATATGCAGAAATAATTCTCATATCCTATAAATATTGATGAATAGAAATACGAAAAACATTGAAAGGAAATATTTTTCTGACTGCAGAATATTTATGTTGGTTGAAGAATAGATGTTCTGGAGGAAGTAAATTAAAATGAGATACATATCTTTTGTTAAGATTACGATAAAAAAAATGCAGTTTTGTGTTCTGTAACCTATTCATCATTCATCGCTTGAGTTGAAAGCTTTTCAAGATTATTTTTGAAAATGAATCACCCATCTGCAGCATTTTTATACAACACGCAAAATTTATTTATGAATAAATATGTTGAAATACATATGCAAATTTGAATGATATTTTGGGTTTTACCGATCATTACTGCATTCCGTATTCAAACAACTAACTGGATCAAAAATTAGAATTCTTTACGGAATTAGACAAAATAAGAAATTCTTTAAAAGCAGGATTTTGCTACTATACATTGACTTTGAAGAGCTTTAAACTACTTTGAAACTTTTTGTTGGCAACATTAATTATTTATTATTATTTTTGTTGGCAACGTTATTGATTTTATAACATTAATTTATTTATATATATAGATTGAATGAAAATATATCATTGGTAAAGATTTAATAAAAAAATATAAAGACAAAGATAATAAAATAATGATATAAAGAATTTCAAAAAATAATTTAAAATTGCATATTGAACTAATAAAACGCGTTAATAGAAAAAAAAATAATATTAAAATTTACTGATTCTCTTTGTGTTCCAATAGAAATGTATGGGATCAGCATACAGAATAGCGTAATTTTATTATTCTAATAGAAGTAATGAATTGACGATTTTGATAGCAAACGCCAGCGGTAGCTATCGATAGTCAGTTTGTTTAATGGAAATTTTTCGAGATTTCTTTTATAATAAAATCAAATGAGAAATAGTTAAATTTAAATCCTCCTAGAAGACAATGCAGTTAAGACAACAAATTTAATTTAGATTTCTACCCAGGTGTATCCCAACTTACGGCCCAATGACAATGCGCACGAGTTAGCATATTGAATGGCATAATTTCAAAAATTCTTGAGGAAATACAGATATGGATTTTGCTAGCATAGATGAAAATAGTTAATCGAAAGCGAATCTGCTTCGAGAAAATGTTCCGGGTTTTCTTTTACATGACAAGCTTATATGTGGGACTTGTCGATTTTTACATCTGCATGGGTATTTTATCTAAATTCAAGGCTGGCAAGTGAAAAACTTAAAGGTTTCTCGTATACTATAAGTAAATATGAATTAGGTATCATTAAAACTCCAGAAAGATAGATAGTTGCCGAAAAACCTGACTTTTGGTTCAATGGCCAGGAAGTAGTTAGCTTGTAGAAGGCCATAATCTCATTATGCTAGCGAAAACAAAGGGACGGCGATTGTTTTGTCAGCATATGTAACAATTTGCTAGTGAAATTTTTTTTGAATTTCTCTTATATAGCATGTAACAGTTACCTATAAATTCACCTGGAAGCAAATGCAAATAATGGTCTACTGGATAACGTGTCTTGTTATCCAGTAGACAAGCACTAGATAGCACCTAGACTGATATAATTTCATATATTCTAGTGGAAACCAAAGGGCTGAATATTTCGACAACATATGTGAGATCGAGATCCATCGAGAGTCATGCTGCCTAGTAAATTTTTTTTATATCTTTTATACAAAAAGCAAATATAAAGTAATTCTCTTTTTAAATTTTCGTGGAAGACTATATGCCAATTATCACCCTTATGTGTATTGTTCATGGCATTAGTAAAACACGAATCTCATCGACAAATACAAAAATCATCCTTAAAGTAAGGCCAATGAATTCAAAACCATTCTACACGTAATTAGCGTGTAAAATGGTGACAAATTCATAGCCGAGTAATTTGAAGTTGGTACTTTCGACAGAAGGGTGTCAATGACTATTGAGATAACAAATACAAGTGATTCTATCGAAAATCAATTTGTCCTCTAATGATTTTCAATGCTTTTTTCATACAATACGACAATGCGTGTTAGTTACCCATGAAACACCATGGTAGTAAATCATTGATAAAACAATACTTACAGAAGGTTACTTCCTTAAACATTTACAATAATAATAATAGATTATGCATTTCATCAAATAAATTTGCTTGTTTATAAACACTGATTAACAATCATGCGCTTATCCCCCCCCCCAATATCTATATATGATTTGATTATTACTTTTATATTTTCCAATTAATCAACAGCATTGAACTTGTAGGCTGGCATAATTTCATCATTCTAACTTGAAAAAGAATCGGTGTTTTTGACAGCATATGAGAGCCTCTGTTATAATAGATACACTGTCCAGTTGAAATTGTACGGGATTTCTTTTATATGACACATAAATGTAAAATAGTTATCTTTAAATCCTCCTGGAAGATAATATCATACCTGCGGCCAAATCAATTTGCAGTGGTAGCATGTAGAATAACATAATTTTAAAAACTTTTGCGGAGTACAAAAGACATAACAAATTTAACATCAAATGTGACAATATTTTATCGACACTCAAGACTAGTGGAAATTTTTCGGTATTTCTCTTATATGAAAATTCACATGGAATTGTTATCTTTAAATTATCCATGAAGACAATGTGATTCACATCATCAACTATAAGTGGATATACGTTGCATATAATAAGTATCATATAATAGTGGCATACAATAAGTATCATGTAATAATGACATACAATATATATTATACAATAATGGAATAAGTATCGAACCGACATCGAAAATTCTTGTGATAATAATGAAAACAATTTATATATGGATTAGCTATCAATGTTAGAATGCCTTGAAGTAGCTACTTTCGATACTATGGATATCAAGACAGCATATGTAAGCGATTCGATAGGTTGTCTGTTAGGGGTTTTCTAGAATCTTTTTCATATGATACGCAAATGCATGACAATTACTCTCAAAAGTACTTCTTAAAGACATCCCTTCCTTTGTGGTATAAATATAAAAGGATTCCTCCATGCGTGTCCTCCTATCAAAATTATACAATACTACAAAAACCATAATTGCAGCTTTGTACTTCCACAAATACTCACAATAATAAGAGATTATAAACTACATTTCACCGAAATAAATAGATTGCTTATGGACTTTAATCGATACTAATATATGCAGGTTTTTTCCATCCATTTTCATTATCTTAATTGCTTTTGCTATTAACCTTATATTCTCCTATTGCTTAAAAAAAAAAAAGTAAAGATTGGTACTTTCCAACCTACGCAAATAAATGAATAGTTTTTTCTGCGTAAAGAGAAATTTGGGGCAGCAGAATATACAGAATAATTCGCTTGTTAGGATTTCCCATTAATCATCAGTATCTGATCATGTCGCACGTCAGATTCTTCGTAATGCACATTCGTACCAGTACTGTGAGAAAACGGGGCATTAAGAATCGGACAATCACTCATTTTCTGACGCAATGGAACTTTACCTGACAA